GAAATGAATGTATGTTAGTCAATAGCCGTAGTATTATTCTTCCTCCAATTCTCTTCTTCTGACTGCATAGTTTTAGTATATAACATTTTTTATTATTCCTTATTTCCTGATGCTACGCAAATACAGAGAGCTTTTTGCACTGAAGTCAAATTCCTTGTATGTCTCATACTTGGCCAATAAAGCTATGCTATGCTATGCTATGCTATGCTATGCTATGCTATGCTATGCTATTCTATTCCATTCCATTCCATTCCATTCCATTCCATTCCATTCCTGGCCCTGCACACTGCCCTCTGCCATCTGCATTCTGCAGCCTAGCCTTTCCATGCTTGCACGTCAGAGGAGCTTCATTTGCAACCAGGATCTGTGATGGTGCCGATTTCCTTGGCTTTTGATGTATTCCAGCAGTGTTCTTTAATTGCTGGCTTGGAGCTAGCAGGTGTCTGGCTGAATGAGGAATCTGCATTTGCCCTTTGGGTGTTCCAAAGCCCTTACAGAAGTTCAGTCATATACCAATGAGTTACTTGGAGCACCACACCTTTGGGAAGGAAAGCTGAGTGACATCGCCGTGTGTGGTTCTTGAAGCAGATCTGGCTCTTCTGCAAAGACAGGTGTATTTCTTTGGGTGGAACTGCTCCTTTGGAGCAAGTAGATCAGATCGTAGACCTCAGATCTTAATTAAGAGAGAAGACAAAATAGAGGGAACACCCACTACTGCCAAACAATAGCAGCATTATTTGCCCAGCGTGGTGGTGGAGCATATGAAAGACAGCATGTCAGAGGTTTCCCAGAGGAGATGTGGTAGAAACAAGGCATGGCAAACCTTAATGTTCTGATGGAAACCAATGAAATTATCAAGTGCATGTGGGTCTCTTTGGCCCTCAAAGCTGCAAGAGGTGCTTGGGGGGAATTGAGAGAGGCCTCTCCTTGCACACATCAGCTCTCATGCCCATACTCATATACCCATTGATGGGTACATATAACATGCTTTTCTACACTGCGTCCCTCTTCATAAAGTAATCCATCCCCTATTATTGCTGTACTTCTTCCATTAGCGGTAGGAATGCAGCAGCGTGGCTCTATCCCCATCATTAAGGTGATTTGGATCAGGAGACTGGGTGGGATCCAATTGTTTGCCTTCCTGCCACTAACAACAGCAGTAGCCCAACTATCCCAACAGTTTTGAGAACCACACATTTTGTGGCTGAAACTGCAGGTAGCCTATCTACCGCTTAAGTATTTGGATTTATTGTCATGCCTGAGAAGACAAAATCCTCACTTCCCAGAGTCTTTCTGAATTGGGTGACCTTACAAATCTAATCAACCAATACATTTTCAATACACTTTTAAAATAAGCCATATGGCCTAACTTCGCTAGTTTTTTTTTTCTTTTTTAATGTAAGCCCAGAACCATTTAGATGATGGAAATGGCCATTATGCAAATTTCTGATTGTGTTCCCAGAATATTTG